ACAAGAGTTCCCAGTGTTTCCTGGAACCTGGCATCTCCCTGGTGCCAGGAAACATCATGGTGCAGCCAGTGTGTATTTATCACTCCAAAAAAATCTGATTCCCACTCCAGGAAAACAGAGAAAATATGCACAAAATTCTGAGTTTGCAGCCAGTTACCTCTATTGATGTCACATTTATAGCCAGGAATTTTCATAAAAGCAAGGAAAATGCCTTATTGATGTACTCTTGTTTGGAAAAAGAGGGTTGCTGCAAACTTGGGGGCAGTGAACTTGTCTTCCTCTCGTATTGATCAAACTCAAAAGAAAATATCAAAAGCACAAAGCTTTAACTGGAAACCATTAGTACTCAGGAGCAAGTGTCTGATGTTCATCTTCATTTAACTTTGTTTTTCTGTTCATTTTCATCATGTCTTGCTTGCCTGAGGGGGGGAGAAAACATAAATAAATAAATAAATAAACAATAAATAAATCTTATGTAGTAAGGGAGTTGTGGTCCCCAGAGGGTCAAGGAGTCAAGACTTCTGTTTATTCACAAGACACAGATGGCAAAGGGCACTACAGTGAAAACCATCTTCAGCTCCTTCTTTCTCACCCATTCAGGCTTTGCTGCTCGCCTGATCCTACCTACTGTGACATGGACACAGGCCATCCTCCCATAGCTCAAAGGAGTCATGGTTCCATTTGCTGACAGGGAGAGGATGCGCTAAACTGCCACCTAGAGATAAAGGGCTCTTGGCATCATTAATAAGGCTCTGATGGACACTCCTCAATTTTGTTTCAGCCTTCAAGTTGTAAATATAGCTTCTCAGCTGTGTTTCATTCACCCTTTCATGTGCTGTTTTACTTTAGGAAATGTTTTCTTCCCATCTAAATTTGTCTTGGCTCTGTCTCCCTCGCTAAGAATTACCTTTTTCTCATGATTAAAGATACCTTTCCTTGCCCTCCTAAAGGTCTGTGGATTTTCAGAGTTGTAGCTCAGATAAAATAAAACATAGGCTCGGTGTCCCAGGCTTTTTCCTTTTCTCAGAGTGTGAGACCTAGCAACAACAAAACACTCTTAGCACTTCCAAACTCAAACTTTGGCCAAAGCAAGTAATTCCAATGCATCTGTAGGTAGTTTATTTTAGTGGGAGCCCAGCTTGCACCAAGGCACAAATGTTCTTGTCTTTTTCTCTATAAAAACAGTTTTCTAAGTGGATTCACTCTAGGTTGGGTTTTTGTCATTACTGTTTTCTATTTTCGTTTTCTGAGCAGTCTGACTTTTGGAATTAATTCTGAAGAAATAATATTTCCACGATAGACAATACCAACATCATCTAAGGTCATCTGGAATACACAGCCCAAGTTCAGTTCTTCTCATTACAGCTTCTGGACACACTAGCGTTACTTGTTAAATCCCCTCGGCATCCATGCTATTTTAATCAATGCTGCACACAGGCAGCAGCTGAGTCTGTGAACTGGCTTAGGAATCGAAAGCAGAGCCAGAGGACTTCTGTGACTGGAAAGGAGAATATAAATTCTGGAGAAAGCAGACTTAATCTACATTGTTTCCAGCATGGACATACGAAGGACTTCCGGCAGAACCATAGAGAAGGAATCAAACAGGGCCTATTAATGATCACTGCAAACTAAGGGATTGGAGTTTGCTTAATGAAGTAGTAGTTTGTTTTTAAGGCATGACAGTAACAGAAGCTGGATTCTAATTGTCCTTTATCTCTATAAAACACTTGATTGGAGTGTGGTACCACAGCGCAAGCAGCACCAGGATTACACTAAATGGAGGCTCTTTCCAACCTCTGGATCTCATCCAGAGAGGGCTTTAAAAGTGCTTACCCAATGAAACTCAGAAGAAAGGACTGAGAGAAAGAATGACAGAGGAAACACAGCTGGGGGAGAAGCCACACCTGCTGCACATGTTCTGTGCCCTAAATTTCACAGCATCCGCTACCAGGGAGGCTCATAAGCAGGGGAATGAGGTAGCAGCTGAGATTAGAAAAGATGGTGTCTCCACCATCACAGACAGCATGTGAGAGGCAATGGCTCCCACTTTAAATCCAGTCATCACTGATTCTGCTCTTCTCGCACAATGGCAACTTGAACAAATGGGGAAGAGGTTCCTAAGTGACTTTAGGCACTATTCTTGGTTGTATCATGTGCTGTGAGTGAGCTCCTTTGAATTCTCCTATAGCAAAGGATGTGGTAGGACCCTGGAAGTCCCAGAGTGATTAAACAGCATCATCTTTTCTGTACAATGGGTCTATAGAAAACAGACACAGTGAGTGTTCACACTCAACAAATGAACACATCTGTCACTTTTCATTGGAATAAAATCTCCACGCTTTATTTCTAGTTTCTTTTTCATTTCATCATTTAAGATGCTCCTGGAAAAATAAGTAGCCACTCCATGTAGCAATGCAAAATCTTCACCCTTCTTAAAGGAAATGAAAATATATTCTTCTAACTTCTAAAACCATCTTATTGGTCATTTACAATTGCTGTACAACGCTCTATTTTCCTGACAGTTACTAAAATGGATAAAAAATTCTAGATCTCTGTTTGTATTCCAGCAAAGCTATTAGTATCACAAGACACCATATCTCTCAAATGTTAAATACCACAAGCATCAATAATTGATTCTGAAAACTGGTAATCTCCCAAATCCCAGTGATCCAAGAAGCCAGATATTTGGCAACGTGGGAAAACACTACTAGAAGACCAGGGCTTAAGTTCTATTTCTGTCTCATCTGACTGCAACATATCATTGAATCTCAGAGTCTTCCTCTGAGAAAAGATTAAAAAGACAGAGTCCATGAAGATGCCATGCAAGTATGAGATACTATGTTTAGTTGAATAGTATCCTTCTACCTGTTCACCTATCAGTTGTTGGCTATCTCTGGCCTATGCGTCTATGTACATGAACACACAAACATAGGTATTGTGGGGGGAAAGGTGGTTCATGTTTAACATCATCATCTTGAAGGAGTTCATTAGAAATTAAAAGTTCAAAATTCAGTGGTGCATTGCCTATAACATCTACCCTTTGGTGGCTGTCTCAGGAGAACTGCAAGTTGAAAGCCAGTCTGGGCTACATAGTACTTTCCAGACTAGTCTGTATTACATTAGCAAGTTTTCATCCCAAGATACTAGAAAAAATGAAAATAAATCCTTCTTCCCATCATAGAATAAATATCTGAAAGAATTTCACCAGAGAATCTCACCACTTGGGCATTTCAGGGGCTAAAAATCACATTAGACAACGTCCTTATCATCTGCCAATTCAAAAATGCAAATGAAAAACTACAATAATTACCTTCATATATCCTCTAGAACAGCTACAACAAACCAGTATTGATAAGGGTAAGTGGAAAACCTGGAAAATTCACAGCACGCTGGTGGGAATGTAGAGTGATAGTCACTTGGCAAATAATTTGGCAGTTTCTTCCAAAGTTGAAAATAAATTTACCATATGCCGCAGAAATTTCACACTTAGTTTCCTACCAAGGAAAAATGAAAGCATGTGCCAAAGACATGAGCACAAGTGTCCATAGCAGTGTTATTTAAGATAGCCCCCAAGCCAGAAACAAATGTCAGTCAACTTGTTCATAGTGAAACAAAATGTAACACCTCGTACAGTAGAATTGTATTCAGCCTTAAGAAGAGAATGAACTACTAATCACTGTTATAATTTAGAAGTTTACGAACGATACACTAAGTAAAAAGACCACAAATTGTATGGTTCTTCTCATAAATCCCCAGCAATAGCAAATAGGTGAGGACACAAAACAGATGTCTGATTGCCTTGGATGCTGGAGACCGCAGCAGCTGATTGCAAATCTGCTCAAATGAAATGTCGGGGTTAATGGAAACATTCTAAAACAAGACTACCATAGTGGTGCCTGACTCCATATATTTACTAAAAATCAATGAAATGTGAATGTATCATGACTGACTTCATGATATATGAATTATATCTCAGTACAGATGTTTTACAAACACTTATAAACAATGAAGAGGACACTTTGTAAAATAATTATAAATAAATGAAAGTAAAACAACCTATAAAATCATTTTACATGAATACCATGGTATATTAATGTACTGTCCTTTAAAGAAAAACATTCTTACACTGGGTGTGGTGGCATGTGCTTTTAATCCCAACCCTCCCTCAGAAGGCAGAAGCAGGCAGATGTCTGTGAGACCCAAGGCCAATCTTGTCCATATAATGACCTCCAGGTGGCTAGGATTAGGGAGACCCTGTCAAAAAAATAAATAAATAGGGGCTGGAGAGATGGCTCAGCAGTTAAGAGCACTGACTGCTCTTGCAGAGGACCCAGGTTCAATTCCCAGCACCCACATGGTGGCTATGAACTGTTCTTAACTCCAGTTCCAGGAATCTGAAGCCCTCTTCTGACTTCTTCAGCACTGCACAAGTGCACTCCCATACATGTAGGCAATATATTCATACACATAAAATAAAAGTAATAAACAAAAACAAATAAATACATGTATATATTTATATGTATCTATATATAAATATAAATGGAAATAGAAGTAAATATTTTATGAGCATTTGTCAAGATAAGTCAACCAGGTGATGTAAAGAATTTAGAAGAGGTTCCGACACACAAGAAGCATAGAGTTCATACAGTGTAGGTACTGTCTAGAGATATCATGTCACTATCATGTCCCTACCAAGTATATTCTGTGATGCCATTTCTTTTGATGTTCTTTTTGTGATGGAAAATGGGTATTTATAATAATCCCCTTGAATTGCTATAAATAAAGCCGGTATTAATAAAGGTTCTTCAAAAGGATTTGGGAAAATATCACAGATGAAAAGTTTAGAGTATGGTGAATTACAAAAAAAATGAAAAATGTGATCTACAGAATATTTCTGACTTTATTTTTATTTTAGAAGGAAACACAATCAATTTAGAATAACCATCATAGTCTTTTTTATTTTCTCATTTTCTCCCTTAACTAAACATTTTTCTTATCAGTTACAGGATGAAGGAAAATGGCCAACTTTAGAGGTGATAAAATTAGAAGGTACACAAGTTGATATTGATAGTGGCAGGGGAAAACCATTTGTGTTTAATTTTGTGTCTCGAGCTGGAAATAGAATTTTTTTTCCTCTGTGCAACTTCAGACCAAGAAATGAAAAGGTAATTCATTAACCTTTTGCCTTTTTGGTTTTACTTTCTGTAGGGGAATGCTTCATAAGTAGTAGGTTTGCAGGTTCTTGGAATTAGAAATAAGATAAAGAACAACAAATTTATAGTATAGGTTTTATAAAATACAAGAAGTTTAAAACTTCATTACTCCTTCATTTTTATAGAATTTTCAGAGAATATAGCATATTCTGCTAGCATTACTACTTCAGATCTCCATATTTTATGTTTTTAATAAAGTTCAATACTACCCTAGTTCACATCTAGCTATTTATATCCCATATTCTTAGAAATAACCAGATTTATAAATTTTAAAGTAAATATATGAATAGTTTTGGCATAAAAGTAACATAACATTATATGGAACAATACATTAAGTTAGATGAGCTAAACGTATGTAAAAACAGCGGTGGTGGTTTGAGAGGAAGTGACTGTTGACATTTTATAAGCATATAACCCACAAAAAGGGATGGTGTTTACATATTCAAAGATGGTAACCTATGAGCTCTCACCACTAAACACATACTGATGTGTCTCTCTGGGGGGAATGGAAATCACAGGCTATTTCAGTGAGTCAACTGAAAACCGTGAAGAGCTCCTAAGCTAACTGCAGGGTAGAGTACAGTGAAGAATAGAGAGTTGATGGCAACATGGTACCAAGTCCACAGTGTCTAGTTTTAATGCATACCTTTGACCCAGCTCCAATCTTAGGGAGTATAAGCTTTGATATAGCTTGGGCAACAAAATGCTTTCCCTATTTGTAAAATGGTATGCATGCAAATAAGTACTGCTCTAAAGAATAAACAGGGACATATGAGAGCAACTTGATTCTATTTCAATAGATGCACAATATTTATTGGATATCTAACATGATCAAGGCACTGTTTTAAGGTCTGTGTGGATTGTTAGTATGATGAAGAGCCAACCCTTGCCAACACCAGCCTCAAAATAAATAAAACAAAACACAGACTCTGAACTCAAATGATGAAGCATTTAATCTAATATTTTGAATACAAAATAAAAGTTGAGAAGTGTTATCGGAGAAGACATATGGTATAGGAATTGAGAATAGAGAGAGAGGGCTTGTGAATGTGAGAATGAGGGAGTTATTTATGGAAAATTTATACATACAAAAAAGAAATGGAATGCAAGAGGGCAGGGAAAATAAACTTAGCTTCAGGGAGAACAACAAGCAGTATGGTTTGATTGGAAGCTGTGGAATTTAAAAGAAAATTGAAAAGGATTGGCAGCTTGGGGGTGGGGTGGATATGCTGATGTCAGGCTAAGGAGTCCTCAAGACAGGACACCAATGGCAAACTAACAATAGCCACTTATCCAAGGACACTCAAGAAAGGACATGAGGCAGTGTTCACTTACCAGTCTTCATATTTTAGTAGCCAGTGCTTGATAGTTAATATAGCAATTGTTACCTCCACTGCTGTCAATAATAAATTCCATTCCTTGGAAAACAGTGAGTGAGCTTTCTCTTAAGCATTGATTAAATGATAATAGAGGTGGGAGGGGGAATACCATTGAATTGCTTTAGATATGCCAAATAGATATTGCCACAAACTAACCTCAAATTTGGAAGAATGTATTACCTTCACCCAAGAACTTAGAGCAGTGAAATACATCTGAGCCTTAGGACATGAAGGCCAGATTCAGCAAGAGCAAGCTCCTCTATACACAGATCCCGGTGGATGGCCACTCTCATTTATTGTCTTTCAGGTGGCTTGAGGCAATGAATAAAGCATCCCATCCTATCCGCCAGGTAAGAGTTCATTGATACTTATCATTGCATTTCTTTTCAGAGGGGGAAAGGAGCAAGTTCAGTTATCCAGCCCACTGTGGAACATCTTAGTTCTGTTCTAAATGCTGGGAGAGGATTTTAAGTCAACAAGAGTTTTGCTTAGATCCTATAGGGTCGCTTTCAATCCTGCTGTTCTTTTCATTTTCAGGAGGGAATCACAAACTGGGGTGGAGTTTGTGTTTCACACAGAGCCATCCATGAGTTCCCCCATGATGACAACTAATGCTGCTGTTTTCTATTCACTCTCCAGTATAAGATCACAGGGATGTCTTGGGACACTGCTGTTGTCTTAGCAGCTTGTGGAGTTCCCCCATGATGACAACTAATGCTGCTGTTTTCTATTCACTGTATAAGATCACAGGGATGTCTTGGGACACTGCTGTTGTCTTAGCAGCTTGTTAGAAAATGAGTGTGTTGTATTCAGATAAACAGTTTCTTGTGTTCATCTTTGTTTTGTAGACACATTAAGCCAACTTTCATTATTCTTGTATATCCATGATCCCTAACTCTGGAGCAATATATTTTTACTTCAATCTACAGATTGTTAGTGACTTCCTAACAGCAGGCAAGCCACCACTGCAGGCCCTCAGGCACTGAGAAGCCATCTTTCTGAGCTCGTGGAGTAACAAGTTAAGGGAAAACTACTTCAATGCTCCGTTTTATGCTATGGCTATGATCTGTAATAAGGTTAAAGATTTCCTTTAAATGTGCTTATTCCTTCACAAAATGGCATACATTTATTATCTTCTCCACATGTTTTGACTTTTATACTTCAGGAAAAATTCAGATTTTTGGAGTTCGAATGTACCTTGCCTTGTAACTGTCCTTTCAGAACAATCACAAGCATCACCACGTGATGACAACAGGGTTTGTCTTTCATTTTACCTGGAACAAAACACTCAATGCACTCATCTATCGCTCCAATGCATCATCCTAATGAATCGATATATTTTTAAAAGGTATCTGTTCTGCTAATGCATTCAGAGTGTCTGTAGCAAAAAAAGAACAGCTAAACTCTCAACAGGCACCCACTTCACAGCAGAGAATACAGCACGCTCCGAAGCTCCCCGTTCTGAAATCTCTTACACAACCTTGTTAAAACTAAAGGGCAAAAATAAAACCAAACAAAGAAGAGAAGCTGGCAAGCACAAGCTGGCTGTGTCGATGAAGAGATGAAGCACTGTGTGCCCAGCCTTAGGTCAGAGTTCTCAGAAAGTGCCTGTTTCCCAGGCCTGTGGACTGAGAGGCTGCCCTCCAGGTTAGAGGATCTCCATTTATCATCAGCCTTCCACATCAGTGACCCGTGACCGTGAGAGCCTAAGGCTTGAGCTGGCCTGGGGCATTTAGCGTGTTGCTTTGCTTGAGGGGGGTTCAGATAAAGAAAAGCGTGAACCAGGGGCTGGTATTAGTCATGGTGAACTGTACCAGGAATGGGCCTAGGAGGACAATCCCTGTGATGTGTCAAATAGCAGATCAGGCAGGCACTAACAAACGGACATTAAAAACTCTTTGCAGAGGTGCCTATTTCCATTTCCTTTCTATATCAAATCTCTTGTTCTTTCACTGATATTCTTTTGATTCCTTCAGAATACAATAGAAACCAAAGAGAAATGGGGTATATGCGGACTTGAAAAGGGTGAAGAGTTTTCTACAGGCAGTGAATAAATTTGAGTTTTCTGGATGTAACTCAAGCAGTGAAATTATATTAGCAATAGAACCATTTAGGGTGCCAGACTCCTTAGAGTCAAATAGACTTGATATCTGTGTCACTGGCTGTATAGGTCAAAGTCAGATGTCCTTGTGCTATACCTGCAGAACCATGTCTGGGAAGATGTTACACTGCACAACAGTAGCCTTCCACCTCTGGCTATCAAAAGTCCAGAATGTCTCGGCCTTCTACATAAGCTGGAAAGAAGCACAGACATGTGGGTCCAACACTACTGCATTCTGAAGCATGGCTGCTTATATTTCTACAATAGCATTTGTTCCACCCAGGCTTCAGGTAAGGAACCAACTCTCACTTGAAATCATTGTAATAACAATAATATTATGGGCACCTTAGTGTTAATGAGCATTTGCCAGGCCCTGTGCTGTATGTTTTACTAATTCAAACCTCCACAGAAGAGAAACTATTACTGTTCTAATTTACAGTATGAAAATAAGCAACAAAGTCTATACCCCATGATGGCTAGTAAGTGATAAAGTAGGAGATGTAGCTGAGGTCAAAACAGCCAGGAAGACTTGACCCCTCACATTTGCTGTCTAGAAGTTAAAACATAAGCTTCTCATTCATTCAGCCATTAGAGATATTCAGATGTGACATTAGTCACTTTCTCAGGTAGAAATATCATCATCTTCTGGTGGTAACCCTAGTTTGGACAAGTGAAGAGAACAAAGAACATCAGCAGTCTGTTTTTCATGGGAAATTTGTTTAACTTCCTATAACTTACTTTCCTTGCTCATAAAATGGAAATAGCAGCAGTCTACTATATAGGACTGTGGTGAAGATTAACTGAGTCATTTCTATTCAAATGACATTGCATTAGAACTA